TCGTCTCTCTAGCCCGTATCTCTCTCACCCCGAGTCGATTCTGTTCAGTGCCGCTTCAATAAGAGTGACTTGAACTCTGGACAAAAATGTTGATCTGACTGGCTTTGGGAACGTCTCGTGGGACCAGGGGGTGTGGCAGCGTAGACGGACAAAGGCAGAGCTGTATACATGTGCTCGGTTTGACAATGACAGGTGTTGAGGAGATTTTATCTCTTCATCCCTCAATCAGCCAGGTTGACTGGATCTTGCCATGGACATCTTTGACTCTTTCCCTTTTGTTGCTTTCATCCCGGTTGAACAATAAGTCAGCAATCTGGGCCTAGTAGCTGACCCCAAACATGATTGACATCAAGTCCAGTTTGTTGACAAGCTCCTAATCTTCTGCAAGTTAGGTACGCGCCTGATTTGGAACAACGTCAATTACCAGGTGGCAGGTATACAAAGGTAGCATCTAGGCCAAGCACTTCTAATCATGGTGGCGCTCTGCAATCATCCACCTCAATCCCGTCTGTTTCCTACTCTGGGTTGTAACCTGCAAGTTTGGCACGACCTGAAACTCGTCCCTAGCGAATGCTCTCAAACTCTTCACGAGCAGCTCGTTGAATTCATGAGCTCCCGTTTACTCTTCTCTGCAGCTGTGACACGTGCAACCTGGCCACTGGCGACCCCCCTGGCGTCTCCCCATCCCCAACCACAGTCGCCCCCACCCCGACCACTGCCACCTCTCCTACTGCCACTCCTACCGCAACTACCACCAATTCTCCCACGTCCACCCCTACTCCCACCCCCACTGCAACTCCGACCCCTGCCCCTGGAGCGAATGGATGCGTTGTGGGGGGGGTGTGCAGCGGCACTTGCTCTGCGCCCCTGAACCCTTGCTACAACTTGGGTAAAGTCACTTAGACCGATGTCGGCCTGCAATAGCTTTAGGTTTTGCCTTGCCAGGCGCAACTTTTCTCCAAGTAACTTGGTTTCAATGTAGAGTTCTGTTGTGGGGTAGCAAGTAGTGTCTCTTGACCTGCCCGGGCACCTAGACCCTTGCTTCACTTGTGAATAAAATGGCCTTTTTTGACTGCGATTGGATTCAGCAACGCGTCTCTGAGACACGTGACAGTAAGGGAACTGCGCAGTTCAGGGGTGCCAGTATTGCAGCAGTGTTGGGGGTTTCACTTCCGGGGAGCCGCTAAAATGAGAATTAGTTGCTAGAAGCGTAGGACTTTTTGTTCTGTGTCTCTCAAGGCTCTCACTTCTGACATGCAATTGAAGCCAGCCTTTTTGCCAGGCCAACACTCCTTCCGTGCAATGATTGCCAAGATGAGGCTTCAGCAAAGCAAGTCAAATCTTTTGCTGCAAGGTATTGGAGCAGAGGTTCATGGCATCAAACAAGAGGACCTGGAAACCAGTTCGAACTAGAGAAGGGACGTTTCTGACAAATCTAGCTCGTCTGCAGCTGTGTACCCAGCTGACGTGCTGCGTGAGCTCCTGCGACAAGTGCACTCTTGGGGCTGCTCCAGGAAACGACGTCACTTTCACAGTGCTGCACAACAATGACGTCCACGGGCGTGTCCAGGCTGCGGTGAGTGCAAAATGTTCGTGACAATTAGAGCATGTCGGTGTCTGTTCTGACCGCAAATCTTCCTTGTCCTTTGCATCACTGCTGTTTGGTTGCCAGGCAACCATGGCGTCTCAAAAGATGATTTCCAGTCCAAGGCGCTAGCCAGCAGCGCATTCTATTCGGCGAAATGTATGGCCCAAAGGTTTGCATTACGCAAGCGATATGTACCATCTAGAAGCATCAATTCAGACGAGGAAAGAGCATTGCTCTGTGAAGCGGGCTTCTATCACCCCTCGTGGTCTTTGATGACAATTTCTGCTCAGCACAAAGTCACTGGTCCTTGCCTCGTTTCAGCTCCTTCTGCAAATAGCATTTCTTTGGCCTCACAGCTGGGACTCTAACACGTGATCTTCTTCGCAACTGCAGGACAGGGGTTTCATCGAGTGCAGTGCTGCACGCCAGACATGCACAGGTAATTAAGTCCATCTATAGTGCTTCGAGTCCTGCTAACTCTTCGAAGCTTTCCAGCTCGTAGTGCTCTTATTCCGATGCTTAAGACAATCGTGCCTTTCACGAATGCTTTTACAAGTGAATAGGTTGTCTCCATTCATGATGATTGGAAGTCTTTGGAAGAAAAGATGGGTTGAAGCTGCGAAAAGAGACACTCGAAATTGACCTGCCTTCCACCTGCCTTAGCTGGACGCCGTTCATGACCTGGCGTACACACAAGCCCTTCCAGAAATTTAAAAAGCTGCTTTTACTATCTTGACCCTTCAGACTCGGCCAAAGCTCCCGGTTCTGCGGTCCAGCACTTCTGATGCCCTGCCTCACTAAATACCGAAGCGTCGAGTGAAAGAGTCTCTCCAGCGACTTTTGTTGTGACGGTTGGA